AAATGCATAAAAAAGTTGCCCGGAAGTTCTCGGTCGTTATCTGCTTCTTAGCTTAAACAAGAGGCTGAGGAAAACAACGTTGATCAGAAGCAGAAGTTTTACTGATTTGCACAAAAAGCCACTGAGCTCACATGTTTGGCTCAACGTGAACGTTCCTCTTTCTGAAACATTCAGATATTCAAAGGAAGTGAAATGTTATTCATGGGAGCCCTGATTCAAACAGACGGACAATTCAATCACATGAATGCATCGCCATGAATAAGAGAACAAATAAAACATCCTGATGCACGGAGTTGGCCTCCACCAGCCACACAAACAAACGCGAGCAGCATCAGAGCCGAGGACTTGTACGGTTAAATTATTGAGGAGCTCTCTGATGCCTCTCGTTCTGTCAGCATGGGTCAAAAGTGAAGAACAGGGATGAAGCAACGGGGTGGGGTGGGATTATGATGGTCCGATGGATGTGAGGGATGCGGGAGCATGTGGCGACCATGAATACAAGCCTCTCCAACCCCCAAATCCCCCTCCTAATGTTCAAATGTTAAATGTTTAACAGGGAGGCTCTCAGAAGAGGAGCTTCAAAGATCCGCCGCTCCTCTGCAGCACCGTGTGCACAAACTCTGCTTCATTCTCCTCCGTTTATCAGCTTTAGAGGTTCTTAAAGAGTCAAATGATGGTGACAGATGATACTTCAGTGATTATGTAACATGTCCTCCTTGATTAACTGATTCATTTTTATGGAGCATTAGAAGAAAAGCTGCTGAGGACATGGACCGGTTCTGCACTCAGCTGACTGGTTCCCCAGATGAAACACCGGGAGAACAGTTGATTAGCTAAACTCTAGATCTGACCAGAGTCCTACTCCCCACCGTGATTACGACAGACACAAACAATATTCAGAAGTTTTACATTAATATCAGTCAGAGGAACTTTTATTAATTACTACATAACTGAATATAACACTAAAGCAACACTAGTCAGCTTTAATAATTATTTACCTAAATTGCCGTCAAATGCAAATAAACACAAAATAGTTTTGAGTTTTTACTTAAACTTCTTATTTTCTACTATTAAAGGGGACAAACTGGAACTTTTCAAAAGTTGCGTTGGTTCGTTATGTTCTTTGACCCAAATCTCTCCCACATAAAGCAAACTCAGCCGTTTTGTTTACATTTTCAGTACCTACCAAAATGAGCCGTTTCAGGGCTCTGAAAGATGTTGCTGGCCACGCCCACACATCCCTGATTGGCTGCAATGGAGGGAGGAGCTTTGATAGCTGGGAGGGGCTCAGATTAGAGCTGCTGCTCCTCCAGTTTTGACAGTTGAGGGGATATTTAGGAGAAGTGCCTGAAAAAAATGACTCCCATCCGAATCACGATTCTTATAAAGATTCAGATTTGATTCATCAAGGTTCGGAATCGATTATCTACAAAAGCATGTAAAGTGCCGTATTTCCGAGCGGTCCCCGAATGCATCATCAACAGTGCTGATAGCTAGCAATATTTTCGTGCTCTGTGACCTTTAAGGCTGCTATCTGCTGAAATACGAAGGAGACGCACCTGTCTTAGTATCCTGTGTGTTTAAAGAGTCAACAAGTCTGCTCCATTATATTTATGTTTGAATGTTTTTTTTTTTTACTTTTTGTTTATTTAATTTTCCGTTTCATCATCAGACAAAACAAACAAACAAAATTAAAGCAGACAAAAACAAGAAAAATAAACAACTAAAGAAGGCAGCATCTTGGTGTTTTACCAGCTCAGTTCCATGTTTAAATGGTTTTATCCTGTCGAGTTTGTGTGTGTGTGTTAGTTCGTGCCGACTGCACCGTGCATAATTGATGCTTTAAAGACTAATTGGTGCCTGATCGTCTTCGTGTTCGGTGATAAATGTTACTGGTTTATGTGAATTCATGCTACTGGACGCTATAAACCTGCTTATTAGTTTGTTTCTTATTTACTTGCACGTTGTATTCTCTTTCCGCTGCTTCTTCATACCACACACACACACACACACACACACATTCACACTCTAGCTGACACTTTACTGGAATAAGTCACGCTGAAAATCAGAATCAAACTGAATCGTGAGTTGTTGTAAGACTCACTTCTCTAATATTTATGGCAGTGACGCTTCTAAAGTAAATGAATTATCGGATTTGTGACCTCTGTCTCTTTAGATTATCGGGTTTTGTTTGTGTTTGAGAAAAACTGGTCAGTTTAATTAAATGAAGTCTAAATTAATTAATTTTCCTCCAGTATGAGGATGGAATCGAGATGCTAAATCACTGCAGAAGAAACAAGACTTGCCCTTGTTGGTGTCCAGTTTACTTATTAACCACCTGTCACGTATCTAAGATCCACCGTCTGACTTTAAGATTCCTGCTGCTGGAAAAGTTTTTACCTTTCTTTCGCCCATAAATTAAAGACAGTTGTGGAGAAATGAATTCAAAGCACACAAACCCTCTATCAAAGCACAATTCATTTGCAATGCAATCAAAGCGTACTACTAGCTTCTCTCGTGTTTAATGAGTAGACTGTCACTGGAAAGCGTTGATCTCATTACACGCGATCAGCCCATCAGCGTGGAGGCAAATGAGAAGTGATGGCGGATGTGGAATGAGACTTGTTTGAGGAGGATGTTTGAGTGAGCAGCGCTGCTCTCCTGCAGCCGTTCTGTTTGAACGTATCTGGGCAGAATGTATGTGTGTGTGTGTGTGTGTGTGTGTGTGTGTGTGTGTGTGTGTGTGTGTGTGTGTGTGTGTGTGTGTGTGTGTGTGTGTGTGCTGCAGATGAGGAAGGTGCTCTAAGCCCAGCTATGATGGCTCCCTTCTTGGGTCATTTCAGTCCCAGCAGCGCTGAATTGTTGACAACCCTGGGTTTGTCAGCACACACAAACAAACACCAGTGCCACGAATCAACACCTCTGTGGGTAGAATGGTGATACGGACTGGCAGCTCGCACCGCTGAGGCCTGGACGTGAGCTGGTGTGCCAAAAGGATTGTTTTTATTTCATTTTCCTGTTTGTCTTTCACACGAGATGAAAAGCCAGGCGATGAACTCCAACAATGGGAAGGGGGGCGAGCTTTGTAGAGAGTGTTTCTTTTCCCAGACTCATAAAGACAGGTCATCGTTATGCAAATGACAAAAAGGCCAATCAGTGACACACACACACACACACACACACACACACACACACACACACACACACACACACACACACACACACACACACACACACACACACACACACACACACACACACACACACACACACACACACACACACACACACACACACACACACACACACACACACACACACACACACACACACACACGGAGCCTTGAGCGAATCCTAATGCATCCTTCCCTTTTAACTATGTACAGGCTACAACACATTGATTTCTAATGTATCAGGTTATGACAGCTCTTCAATATGGCTGCAGACAGCCAGGGTGGGGGGTGTGGGGGGTGAGAGCACGCAGCTCCAGGCTGCCGACCTGACAGGGGAGAGCTGGCATTAAGGAGGAGGATGTTGTTGTCCTGACTACTGTCACAGTGAGTCAGACACAAAGTCAGGTGGGTGTGTGTGCTGGCCCGGCTGACTCCTGAGCCCGGTTCCTCTTCAGCAGTCTCTGCAGAGGTGGATCAGGAGCAGTAATGAGGGAGATGCTGCCTCCATGGATCCCAGTGCACAACAAGGTGTTTTTATATAAATCACTGCAACTCCTGCGAGGAGCTGCAGGGAGTCGTCTCATCTGGTTTATTAAAGAAAAGCACCCGTTTCAGGTTTTTACACCAATTCTGACCTGCTGATTCACACAGCGGTGCGATTTTAACCGACAAGGCCAGAAATGATTTATCACGTGTTGAATTTTAATCTGACTGAATCAGCTCATAGGGTTCAGTACAGAAGTATTCACACTAATACGGAAATATTTTTCTTGTTATTTTGCACATCTTAGAACAAAAGCGTATAATTACAGGAAGTACAGGAAACCTCAAAACAAAACCAGTAATTGTCTTAAATCACGGTGAAACTCTAGGATTTGAAATGCCCGACAGATCTACGTCACACAAACATTCATGACCATCCCATCTTGACTCAAGACGGGGAAGGCTGTTGTTGGTTTAGCGTCCAGGAAACAGCAGAGAACGTCTCAGCTGATAGACGCTAACTGTTAGCATTAGCAACTCCACCACACAGCAGAACTCCTCCAGGCTTGTGTTATTTGTGGAGATAAAACATCAACGTTGCAGAGCAGACAGAGTCAGCGGTAGAGTCGTGTTGCTGTAAGCCAATCAGAGGAGAGACGTCCACAAATCAGGAAGTAAAACTCGAAATCCATCTGAAGCTTAGCTGTGACGTGGGTAACTTTTAGGTCCTAGAAGTGGTGCACCAGTGTATTCATAAAACAGGTAGAGACCGCCCACTTGTGCAGACCTGAAGCACCAAAGTTGTTTAGTGCCGAGTCTGGTCAGCAGAGGACTACAGAGGGACGTCTAATGGGAAGCTGCTCAAGTTTCTGGCTCAAGAACCATTGAAACCAGTTTGAAATAAACAGATTTGAGCGTGAAAAGTCTTTGGTTTTGTTTAAACTTAAGAATTTTTATTTTTATGGGTTTTATTTGTGTGTGTGTGTCAGGAACTCAGTCTGGTGTGGTGTGAATGCAACATGTGTCATACTGTGCCAGTGTGTTTTTCCTTTGTTCTGCCCTTTCTACTGGCCCAGACTTTGGATGTTTAATGTTTGGGGCTGCTAATAAAATGTTTTCTAATAGTTTGGAGCAAAAATCAAAAGTTAAATACAAACGTGACCAACTGTCCCCAGAAATGTTTACCTGTCCTCCATATTCTGAAATTAAACCATCTAAAGGCAAAAAGAGCGGTAATGCTTATAAACCATAGCCGAGTCCTAATTTCAGTCACAATCATTCTGTGTCTGCTGATGAACCCCGAGTTGATCTGGATGGCGATGGACGTGTGAAACCACGCCTTACCTGAAGGAGGCAGCGGTCTGTGAAGACGTAGCCGATGAGCTTGTCCAGGTGCATCAGGCACTGGTGGTACCGGATGTGATGGGTGAGAACGGGGAGCATCATGGCGTGCTGTTGGACGACAGAGAGAATTGGAAAGTGAGGCTGGAGTATGAAAAGGCGAGTGAGGGAAGCGTGTTTGGAGAGAAAGCGTGATGAAGAAGGGCGCTTGTATAGCACAGCGAGGGGAGAAATCAATCAGCCCGTCATTATTTATTAAGCGCAGCTCTGCAACAGAAGAAATAATCAAAAAGCCCATTTCTGCAGTGGGAGAGAGAGAATGACAGGAGAGGGGATGGAAACTCACATTCGGACAGGACACGGGAATGGGATCCCACTCTGACAAGCTGCCATGCTTACCTTTGTGCAAACACTGACAGCCCTTTCTGACCCCCACATATGAAAGCAAAAAGTTTCAGCAAAGTGGAGGAGAAGTGAAGAGGAGGAGGACACAGCCAGCGGTCAGCTTGGAGAGCCAATCTGGAGAATCATTACTGGAGGCTCATCATGTCTGAGGGCGTGTAGCTGAGGCTGGCGTGCACACATTAACCCGGCGCCACCACACCAGAGACATGCAGCCTCGCATGTTTTAATTAGTGCTGCTGGGGAGCGGCGCTGCCACGCAGCCCCGGGGCCATCACAGGGGCCGCCGTGACACGGTCCCCAGGCCTCGTTAAGCAGCCAATTAAACAAAGGCGGGCCCCGGTCGAGCCCGCAGCTCCTGACCCGCTCTGATGATGGGTGGGGGGGCTCGTTGGAGTTCAGACGCACTAATTAAAAGGTGGGAAAGTTCTCATTTAGCATCACAAATCCTGATTGGGTGGTTTGGGCACCATCCAACAGAATCATGCAGAAGCCTCTAGGGTTCATCTCCATGGTGATTTAAGTGGCATCTCTGATGACCTCACTTCTGATCAGCTTTCTGGTTGGCTCCCAGCTCAGATCTCAGCCAGACCTTCAAATCAAAACAACTTCTCTAAAAGCTCAAACTTTTCCATCAGTCGCACTTTTCTAGATCCAAACTGGAGCCGGATTTTCCCAGAGAGCATCTCTCCTGACAACTCGCTGATACCATCTCCAGCTTCTGTAACGAGCTCCGAACTCTTTACGTGTTTTAACGACTCCCTCCTCCTCAACAGGATGTTCAAGTTTAAAGGTGACAATAACTCAGACCTCACAGCCTCTGTTAAAAGTCTCCAGGACTGATGAGCTAACGACTACGGCTACAACGGTCCAACTCTGGCTTTTAGACTTCTAATGAATTAGGAAGATAGTTTCACTTATTTTACTTCATCAGGTGATTTTGTCCATTTTTGCACCAAAACGTGAACATTATCTTATTTTATTAGTTAAATCTCTCCAGCCCCATCACCCATAAGAGCTGTTAGCTGAATACAAACGTTTCATTTAGCCAACGATATTTCAGAGAGATGAAGTTTTGTTTTTAAAGAAAACATTTAAAAAGAGCAAGTCACCCCCAAATCAGCTAGTTTTTTTACTGATAAACTAAATAAACGAGTGTCTAATCGTGCTGCAGACACGTGTCGTCAATAGTTTGGCTCTTTAGTGCATTTTAGTTAAAATTTAAATATTCTGCCTAAAACTGTCAGTGTTGTGCCGTCGTCGGGTAAAAACTCTGCACTGCAATTGAATTTAAATCTGCCATCGCTATTGGCTAAGAGGTACACTAGAACGTTAGCTGGTACCATATGATGTCACAATGTCATTGTGAGCCTGTGTGTGTGTATTTGTTAGTGAGGGTTAGGGCTAAAGAGTAAGTCACCCCTACCAGATTCTAACTCCACTCCCACTTCATGTTTGAAAAATGCAACACATGCTGTTGCCTGGCAGACCGAGAGGGCGGAGCTGCTAACAAATACACACACACTGGCTCACGACAGCATTGTGACATCATATGGTACCAGCTGATGTTCTAGGGTACCTCTTAGCCGATAGCGATGGCAGATTTAAATTCAATTGCAGTGCAGAGTTTTTACCCGACAACGGCGCAACACTGACAGTTTTAGGAAGATTTAAATTTTAACCAAGATGCACTGAAGTGCCAAATTATTGACGACACGTGTCTGCAGCACGATTACACTCATTTTAGTTTATCAGCAAAAAAAAAGTTTATTAGGGGGTGACTTGCTCTTTAATTACTAACATTTATCCCAGGTGTCTCTTCTGTTGAAATTTAAATTATTTTAGAGGGCTTTTATTTTTGTGATATTTCTACTCTCCTGTTACTATTCTTGAAAAGAAGTAAAGTTTTTATTTGTTTGATGAACGAATCAGATCAAATCTAGAACCTGCTGCTTTTGTAAATAAACCGTTCAAACTGGGACATTTGATCCTGCATACATGTATTTTTATTCATATTGCTGATCCCCTCTATAGATTTGAGAGAATATTTGTGTACTTGGTGTCACTAATGGGACGTTGCCTGTCCAGGAGCCACAGCAAAAGGCCGGTCTCCTAAGAGGTTCCTGATGGTTTTAAGCAGACATGATCAGGAGCAGAAACCAGAATCAGTCAGACGAATCCAAAGAAACAAAATCTGTGGCGGATACAAAATAAACCAAAATAAAGCGACTCAAGCCAAACCCCCTCAGCAGAGCCGAGTGATGGTAACTGGAGAGCTGCTCCAAAAGCCCGGCTGCTTTCAGAATGAAGAGACTGGGGGTCACTTTGAGCGGCCGTCTCCTGTCTGTGTCACACCGCGAGCAGAGTGCAGCGCTGCAGTTCCAACTGAAATTATTCATGAAGCAATTAGTCGTAGCGCTACAGCTTGAAGCAAATATAATTGGACAGCAATTATGGATGGGATTCTTCTTTGCTAGACCTTGCTGTAAGAGAGGCCAGAACTTTCAGTCATTTCCCTCCAAACGTGAGCCGAGCATCGGCTGCAGGCTCTCCTCACCGCCGACAGCGGTGTGGAGATGTAGTCGGGAGAGGAGAGAGGCGTGCAGCGCCCGTGCCAATTATCCTCAGAGTAAGAGGCCAAAATTACTGGAATAGACAATAAATGAAATAATTGTGAAGCAGCAACAGTGTGCCGTTGTATTTGATTAAGCCAACAAACCCACAAACACACGCGGTTGTGTTCACTCCAGCCTGCACAGCGTGCCATGTGGGCTTCAGCTCTCATTAGGGCTGCTAAATTACAAGCTCACATGAAAGTGAACATGACCTGGGAAACTCCCCTGGAAGCAGATAAAGATAAAAATAAGAGAAAGTGCCGGTTTGTTTGTTTCTGCTGCTGAACGGCGGAGAGGCCGGATGTAAATAAAGTGTCAGGTCGGAGTCGGTGCTTGATGAGCGGTGCAGCTGCTGCAGCTCTGCGGGGGTCCACTCTGCTCGTACAGATTTTGACACTTGCGTGGAGAAGAGATGCGGCGAGAGGAGATCAGAGGCAGCGTTTCTGTCAGCGTCGGAGGAAGCGTCTGCCTGAGCGGAGCTGCAGATTCCTGGATGTACAGGAAGGGTGAGCGCTCCGGGTTCCTATCAGGCGTCGCCCTAACCGCCCTGCCCTGATTTATCCATCTACAGTACGTTTACGGTGATCAGGCGTTTTTATCAGGGTGAAAGAAGAACGGACGGCCGTGAAAAGCCAAAATCTTTTTTATTGGTGCCGCCACTGCAGAGTCCAGTCAGCCACCAGGGTTTGGATTCAGCTAGCTTGTTTTTGATTTAATGCCTTCTAGGGTTCTAAACCCCCCAAGGCCCTTTACAACACAATCAAGCCCATAAACACATCCACACGCCGGTGGTGATGAGCTACATCGTAGCCACGGCTGCTCTGGGGCTCGCCTGGAGAAGACGGGCGCCACCACTCCCTCTGACCACCACCTGTACGCAGGTGGGTTACGTGTCTCACCCAAAGACACAACTACACCAGACTGAGCAGGGATCAAACCCGCAACCTTCCCATTACGGTGTTTGTTTACATCTAAATCAGTACAGAGCACTGAAAACGCTTCATTCGCCACCCTCCTCTGCACAGCTGAAAGCTGCGACGCTCCTTTTAAACGTTTCCAGGATTTCAAGCACCTGCGTGCTTTTCACACATGAAGAGCACATAAATGCTCAACATGACTGTTTCCATATCCTTGTCTGATAAAAGTCAGTGCTGTTGTACTATAATCAATTCATTTAATGGTCATTTTTATGCATTAACTTTCAGTTAGTTTTAGTTTAAACTTCCTGGCTGCAAAAAATACATTAAAAGTGGGAAAAAAACTGAAAATTTTTAAAGAGAAAAAAGAAAAAGAGGAAAAAATACCCTTTTGAAGGAGGAAAAGGTAAAACAAGCCCTGAAAAGTCTTCTCCAAACCGGACCGGTACCCTCTTTTGTCCATTTCAAGCCGAACTAAAGCTGGTTTCATCCTGCTAAAGCCTGGTTCATGCTTCTCCGTCAGCTCCGCAAGGGACAGACACGCACGGATTGACGGAAGCGTTTTGCTCTCATACTTCTCCGTCTCCTGGAGAGCGTTGCAAAGCAATTGCCCGGCAGGACAGCAGAGGGCGTAGCGCTGTTCTGTGGTATCCTGTCATGTATCGGTCCAAGATAGTGTGTTTATATTGTGTTTTTTGTGTATATAAGAGACTTTTAACACGGACATATTTGTCTCTCATCCTCCTCCACCGCTTCATGCGCTCCCCACCTCTAAACCCACGTTTCCTGTCATTTTCGTCCACAAATAAAACACTTACTGTGCATCTTTTCACTCCTCCCGTCACGGGAGAATTAAACGTTCATATTTTTAGAGTTTTTTCGCGAGGTATTCTTCAAGCTTCTCCGTGTCTGCTGCTAGTTTTCCTCGGCTCTCTCTGCAATGGCGGCGCTGTAAACAACAGCGGCGTCCTGACCAATCACAAGCTTGCATAATCCGTCTCGTTCGACGGATGTTTAAAAAAGTGGGCTCGACTCCGTACGTACTTGCGTGCCTGCCGGAGCCCTACGCAAGGATGGAAAATGGCGTTGCGTGTCTCCACACTGACGCAGACGGAGAAGCATAAACCAGGCTTTAGGAAGCGGCGAAAGAGACGTTCCACACGCACAGATCAACCATATTCCTGCTAAAAGATCTCAAAATGAGGCAAAAAAAACAATCATTTAGCTAATAAACCAAGTCATCGCCATTAAATGATGTCAGGTCACATCAGCACATATAACCTACTTAAATACTGGACTTTCCAGCTTCGTTCAACAGGCGAACGTCCAGCTGAGTGTTTGTGATCCTGCAGGTATCAGGCCACGATTAAAGCCCGCACCAACACTCCTCAGAGGTCGAGGCCAACAGGACTGCCGTCACGTCACCAACGGAACAACGAAGAGCCGTTAACAGCAGCGGTTGGACCGGTAAGACTCCATAATTCTATGAGCTGTGTGTGTTTCAGATACGAGGCCGGTATTAGAAGTGAAGGCTGTACCCGTATTTACTGGAATATCTGGATCGGCTTGTGTCAGAGCTCCAGTCGATGTTCACTCAAATGAAAACTAAGAAATTGGCTGTCATCTGAAGGTACTGAAGTGAAAGCTGCTGCGGTCCCAGAGCACCTTCATGTGTCAGTAGAAAGTTAGCCATCAGAGAATTAACCTTAATATAAGTGGGTTTGAGATTTTTGATCATTTTAAAGCAGAAACTTTTGACACTCTGTGGCTGCAGCTTTGGATCCGTGACGCCTTTCTTCTCCGATTTTGACTGATGTTGATGCTAGATGTGGATTTCAATTCAAGTGTCTCAGAAAGGATTTAAACTCTGAGAACTTCTGATTCTTTTGTGTCATCGTCACTAATTATAAACCGTGATTACAGAAGATGATGAAAATGTCGACCGCTCCTCCGCGACTCAGAAAACCAGCCTGAGATTCTCCTCAGAGACCGGATTGTGAACTGGGGGTTACCTGACAGACGTCTGAGCGGATTCCGGTTTTCCAGAAGCCCTGGCTGCTCAGCTCCACAGTCACCTCACGGCGCATGGTGTTCTTCTGACGGATCTTCTGAAGAGCTTCCTGCCAAACAACCAGACAGTCAATTATTGATCCACTGGAGCAGAGCCCACAGGGACCGCTTCCCGTCCTAAAAATCCCACCCCTGCACCTTCGAGCCCTCCTTTATTCCACTCTGGCACATGCAATAAACTGCAAGCTCCTTCATGAGGTGATGCTCAGAAGAATCGAGGCCGGATGAGACACTGGAACGGCTCGGTGGAGCGACTGGGTTCAGGCTCAGGCCTCGTTTGCAGCAGTAAATTTAAAATATTTCCATTGGGTTGGTAAAAGTGCGAATAAATTCCTCACAATCGGGTCAGAGAGGGTTAATGATGGGGTGGAGCAACCACAGGAACCTGCTGCTAAACACTTGTACAGAACACAGTGAAACACTGGAAAAGCAGACGCTAGGCTGAGCTAATCCATTAGCTTCCATACACAGAGCATGTGTGAGCATCAACCTGTGAAGACGAAAGCTGCGTGCTTTATCACACGAATCTCTCAACATACAGGAAGTCATTAAAGATGGCCGACGCAGCTCATCAGTCTCAGTAAAAACAAAAGATGGTAATACCCGAGCATGTTTTAGTGATATTGAGCCAAAACTGAGAATAAGAAAGGCTCAAAATCATTCAAAAGTCACACTGAACCAGATCCAGAATTCATCAAAGCGACTGTAATGACTTCTTTTTTCAACCTGAGTTTAAAACTATTGCATGAAAGGTGTTCAGTGACATCTCCTCCTTTGGGGAAAGATGCACCTTAAATGTATTATTTTACTTCTTTAACCGTTTTATGATGAAAAACTTCAAACTTAATCTCAAACCTTTAAAATGTGTTTATTTTGAGTCAAACTGCAAGTGAAGCTAAATTCATCTGTAAGAAACACAAAGAGTGCCTATTGGTCGGATGTGCGTAGGGGCGGGGCTAACAGAAGTCTAGTTACTGCTGCTCAAAAACCAATGAAGCAAGGTGCCTGGTTTGTTTTTGGCTAGCTGCTGTTTGTTTACTCCACCGCATCCCAGAATGCAAAGAAAGCCCGGGTAGTTGTGTCGGATCGTGGTGGTTCACACTATCAACTAACAGCTCTCCCTTAACTTTAACTGGCAACTTCATATTGAGGTCAGTAGAAGTTTTGATGCGTCTACGTGTTCAAAAGGAGCCCGTCAGACCAGCTAGGACCAGAAAACTCAACTGTTTGCTGAGAATCCTCAGACTTTAGCAACATTTCTATTCTTTAACTCGTTTAAATACTATAATTATCAAAAATCGACTAGGATTTCTACTAAAATGGTCAACAACTGAAACAGGATGTGATAAAGATGGCTGAACGCCAACACATCAGCTGGAGGGTAAATATAGAAGGGGGGGGGGGGTTCTTACAAATAAAAACCAAGATGGAAGGCGTGTTGACAGAACGCTCCTCCTTAATGTGCGTGCTCGCGCGTCTCATTCAGCTGAGACGCCATCGACTCGGCCTGGCTTGGCCGTGATCCGCCTAAAATGGAATGCCAGGACTTTCTGACTCGCAGAAGAAATAAGAACAACAAAGGCATGAATAAATAACGCCATCCTACTTTGAACTGTGCATGAAAAGGAAACGCGCTGCGCGTGGGCATGCAACAAACACACACACACACACACACACACCGAAGCCTCCTGCGGACAGCCAGTCGCTGTATGTGGAAAGCAGTCATCACAGAGAGCAGCGAGTCAGATGTAAATAGTTTATTATGCAGGGCCTTGAGCGGGGTCAGGGAACGGAGGGAAGCAAGGCAAGTAAATAATTAACCAGGGGGGTTCGGAGAGACTCTTCCTGCTGGTCAAAGTCACGGCACTTTTGACTTTTCCCATCATATCCTTCTACCGAGAGCTGTGTTTATGTTTGGGATCAGTCCGAGGTCAAACACCAAAGACACTTCCTGAAAATCAATGGCCGAGGAAAGGCGAGCAAGCATCTGTTGCGTGATTGCTCGCTGCCGCTTTCTTAAGACTTTGTTTTATTCCCATCACATTGCCACCGCCGTCGCATGAGGAACGCCGAGCTGGGAGATTATCGGAGATGTTGTGGGGCGTTCAAAGGAAGATTTCACCACAAAGAAGCAGATATTCATCAAATCTGCAGCCGATCATTCCGTTTATTTAGATAAAACTATTTGTTACGAGTCCTCTTCTGCTTAAAGGGACAGATGTGCTGAAGAGGGTTAACATCTTTGACCTCATGACCCCAGAGAAGAGATTGTATGATCATGTCGAGTCTCAACTTTCTTTAAATTAAATTGAACATTTTAAAGGTGCATTATGTAGAAATGAAGTCAAAATGACACCCTGTGGTAAAATCCGGTTACTACAACAACGGTAGTTACGGACCTCCTTCCATCATGGCTTAAACATTAGACTCTTGTGGGATTCTCTCACTGTAAAACTCTCTCCATATTCTTACATACTGCACCTTTAAAACGTAGGTTGCCACAGATATTTGATTTTCTTTTATATTCTTATTTTAGATTTTTGTGGCACTTGATAATATTTGCAATGCATTTGCATTAAATATGTCTAATGTTGTTGTTTCTCAGCTGTAAAACCTTTTTATCTTTCTATTAACCTTTATGTGGAAGACCATTTTGAGACTACCGGGCTAAGACGCCCAGAATCTTCACGAATCCCAGTCCAAACGGGAGTTTTCTTTTGAGAAAAGACTCTCGTTTGTCGCCGTGGAACCGAAGGAGATCTGTGGAGCGAGCACCTGATACCTTTTCAGAGATTCTCCTCACACGGCTCCACCGAGCGCGGCCAGATCTGCAGAGGAGAATCGGAGCAAATCCTGAAATCCACGGTGAAAACCCCGGGATGGAAACACTCTGGGAAGAATATTTATTTAAATCATAAATAAATCATTTCTGATGATAAAGAAATGAGTTATAAAAGGTTTTGAGTCAACGATGGTCAGAAAATGACTGAAACGAGCATTTTTATCTTTTTATTATACGACACACTCAGGTGTGTTTCACCTCTGGCCTCGCAGGTGTCAGCCAGCCGGTGTGTAAACCTCCAACAGGGCGGCGGTGGATGGTCGACAGTTCCTTTCCAACGGACAGATGTTTTAGTCCAACGGAGGAAGTGTTCGACGTCCCCTCAGGCGTTAAATAAGCAGCAAAGCCACTCTGCCCCGACACGGCTAATGCTGCCACTGCACTGACGGAGCCGCTCTGCGAGTCTGCATGTGTTTGGGTTCACTAATTGCTCCGGTGCAGGCTGACAGTGAGATTGTCAGGACCTGTTAGCTGAGGAACTCCGCTGCGCTACCTGGGAAACAAACTAATTGAGCTCTGGGTTCTTGTCGGTCATTGGTTCGGCGTGAATCGGAGCGCCGGGAGGAGGAGACTGGATCTGCAGCTCTTCTGGAGGAAGGATCTGGTGCTGCAGAGCTTTCCTCCAGGCCACACACACACACACACACACACATGCGGCGCTGCTACTCTGGGACTCCCCGTGGCTACACGGTCATTACTTCACCAAATCTAAACCTTTTTCTTTCCCCGCTCCCCAGCGGTGGTCTGACCTTCACACCCGGCTCAGGAGAGCAGTTACCGCTGCTTTATTCTGAGCTGTGAATTCATCTCAATTATGCAAAAAAAATATATAAAATAAAATAAAATAAAAGGGGGGGGGGGGGGGCATGCTATAAGACAAGCCGCAGTCCCAAAAGAAACAACACACTTCCTGTGTCCTCCTGTCAGAATAAAAGCTCTGTCTGAAACTCCTGAGCTGTTCTATCAGTGAAGAGACGGATCTGGATGATTCAAACCCATGAAGGGATCTGAACGAATGATGGGCCGTATCGTTGTTTCGGCTTGTGTGCATGTAGATGATTATTTCCTGAAAGCAGCGGTAAAATCCATCCAGAGGCAAAGCCATGGCCACTCTTCCTCTCGTCTTTTTTACCAGCATAGACTAAAACTCACACAGATCAGAATCTGCCCCATCAGAGCGGAACGGTTTCATATCAGAATAAACTTCCTAACTCACGGGTAAATTCAACAGACAGAGGCGAGAATATTTTGGTGTTTGTGAAAAATTTCAGTCTAATTAAGTAAAAGCAAGTTCTTAAAAAGTATAAGAATCTGTGAAATGTTCCTTTTCTTATGCAGTTTTTTTATTCTTACCAACACAACGCTACGGTGCCACTACGAATCCTCACAACCGGTGAATAACAACCGTTTTTATCAACACCTGCAGCGTTCTAGACTGACCTTCTCCACCTGCAGGCCAGATTATCTGAACTAACCCTCCTGCAGACGAGACGAGCCACGAGGGAAGCCTTAAGGCCGGTTTGTGACCCACCTCTCTCTGAGTCAGCTTCTGCTTGTCCAGCTGCTTGACCTTTGGGCTGTTTGCCAGCAGGTGGCGCAGTTTGACGTAACTCTTCCACAGCTTCTGGTACCTGCAGAGTAAACAGGCTGTTACGAGTCCGTCTGTGTCTCCATATCAATATTTTATCAGCAGCTTTGCTGAAGAGAAACCGCCTGAGACACCGAGGGCGATCCGAGCCGTGAGAACGGGTTCACGCCGATGATTCGTGACAAAGATGTCAAAGCAGCTCACCTTCTGGAGTTTTATTGTTCTCAGACGACTCAGGAGCTCATCTCCTCATTTTCTATAACATTTCATTGTCTTTGTGCTCATTTGCATCTGAAAAGAGGCACGGAGTTATCGGCAAGGTGACATGTAGCCACCGTACGACCCCCTTTCTCTTTTCAATCAGACCGCTGATTGATGCACTGAGGGCCGAGTGTGACCGTTCTGCTCTCATTCAGGAGACTTTCTCCTCATTTACCCAGTTATTCAATTACGATAGCCAGGATGGTGGAGAGAGGGGGAAGGGCTTGAGGGACCGGATGGTCCTCTGACGGAGAGATCAGGAAGAGTGAAGAGGAAGGGAGGGAAGAGGTGGTCCGTAGTGTGGAATAGAAGAATTACAGGGCTTTAACAGCGGAGGCTTCATCAGAGACCGAGACGAGGGAATGAGGCGGCTTTACCGCCCTGATTATCAGCTCGCCACCACCTCCGGAGCGCCACTGAAGGGGAGAGAGAGTCTCTCCAGCCTGGGAGGCCCCCTCGTCCCCAATCCGCTCCGGTGACCTTTCCACATATCCGCCGTGTGCTGTCGGGGCGGCTCTGGCCGTTCCCCGCTCATGCTTCCATTAGCATTAGCTGCCTCGCTCCTCCGCTTCCCATCTCTAACCCTTTTCAGACGTGTTCATCTGCTCTGGCGCTTCAACAAGAGTCTCCATGACTTGTAGGGTCTGTGACAACGTGACAGGACCATTATGGGAACAGCAGCAAAGCACAGCTCATGGTGTAGGTGACGAACCATCCGTGTCTGGAAAGATCTGTTGTCACCTGTTGAATCATTTATTAGACATGAACGACGCTGACGAGACTCCCAGGCTACGGCTGGGTCGGGGTCTAGGATCTCTGCCTTGTCGGATGGTCTGCGGAGTTGGTTCTTGACAGTAAATCTGGGTCTCTCTGGTCGTAAACACGGTTCTACAAGGATCCTCAGGAGAATCACGTTTAAGGCCGCTGCTTGTTCCACTGTTGCTCCTCAGGTTCTGCAGACATCTGCTAGTCCTCCATTGGTTAGGTAATTAGTGCAATCTCAGAACGCTGACCCGTGTCAGTCACTGGGCGTTTGGGTTTAATCGTTTAAAGAGGATGGTCCGTCTGTTTAACCACAGTTATTCAGTCAGGACGACACCTTTCACACAGACGGCCGTGTCCTCGGCGTGGGTGGGGCCGAGCGTAGGGGATTAAAGATGATGTCCCAGTTCTGCTAAAGAGACTCGTGGTGGTTTTAAGGGTCCAGGGATGTCTTGAAACGTTTTCTCTGCCTTTGCTAATTAAATCAAGTCACCTGAAGCTACCGAGTTGTGGTCCGAGTTAATCACCTACTGACTTAACTCAGGTGTGTTAGAGGCATGCTGGATAGAGGCACTCCGGGACCTGGATCGCCTACCCCCGAGTTAGACTTTCATCTTTAAACCCAAAGACAGTTGTGGGGTTTTGACCAGTGGTGGTCATCCGTGACTTCTAGTCTAAATGCTGACTTTAGGTCTGAAGGGTTCCTCCTTGTGAATCTCCTTCAGGTAGTGGACCTTGGTCCCTGGTTCCTTTATTCCCAGGAGAAGGCTGAACCAAGAACACCGTTGGGAACATGGTCATCAATACACTTCAGTAAGGATAGCGACACTCCAAGACTAGGATTGCCTACCCTTGGACTTCAACTGAAGCCCAAAAACCAACAATTTTGTTAAGATTTTAAACAAATTATAATCAATTTTCATTTAACGTCAAAAATTATTCCAAAAATAAAAAAACAGCAGATTTAAAAGCAAAACAACATAAAGCAGTGGTTCTCAGTCCTGGTCCCGAAGGGCCGGCATCGAGCACGTTTTAGTGGTTTCTCTGCTCCAACACACTTGACTCTGGTTGACTCCCCTGCAGCAGCCTGTTAGCAGGGTTAAAACTAAAACGTGCTGGACACCGGCCCTCCAGGACCAGGACGGAGAACCGCTGCTCTGAGGGAATCCAGTCACAGTTCAGACGTTCATCAGGAGTTTGACGCAGGATGAAGAACAACAACAAAGGAGTTTAAAATGCCAGAAGCCATTAGAAACCAGTTTTCTGATAAATGCTAGAAATGTGGTTTTGAATGTGGGGAACCCTACCATTAGCCCGTAGGGTTAGTGTAATAGGAACAGTGCCTGTAAAGTGCTTGTGTCATGAAATAAATGGACCAATCACAGCTTGATATGCAAATTGGGAGCTCGGATTCCCTTCAGGACCACGAAGTGGGAATGTGACATGGTTCCTTCTAAGCTCTAGAGCAGATTTAAGTAAAAAGGGGTTGTTTTGACTTTAACATCCTCTATAATTCTATCACCTGTCCTCCTGCATCACCCCCCCGACCTCCGACACGCTCCCGCCTCGGTGGTCCTGATCGAGCTGGAGAGCTTGAACAGTGTCCTGACTTAATATATGCGGCTGCTGTGTCCAAAGCTCGCTCTCTGCGGCGCCGCCGCTGCAATCAACAGCGACGGCGACCCTCGCTACACGCATCATTAGCAGTGGTCGGAAACCCTTTCCACGGGTCTCACTACTCGTTTCTGCACGTCCTAATGATGTCCCAGTTCATCCATAAATTTGTCGTCGTCTGCCGCTTTGAGGAGTTTGACACGGCAGCAGGGCGCACGCGGATGAAAGAGCTCGGAGGATTGAAACGTAACGGCAAGGGAGGAGGGACATTCGTGGGAGGGAGGACGCCAACGTGTCAGGCCTAAATGGATTTCCTCGTTTGCACCTTACTCGTTTCCATTTCCTCCTCCTGGTGGCTGTGAGTCCAAGCAGACGAGAAGAGATCCACAGGTTTAAATTTAGCAGAAAGCCAGACTTTTGATTGGCTCTGGTTGTGTTGTCACATCCCTCAGAGGCAGCAGCTCGCAGCGTTTGATACACAGCTCCTGTTATTTATGCAGAAGCACAGTACAGTGTTCCCTGCTGCAGCCCTGCGGCGTGTGTGTGTGTGTGTGTGTAGCATAACTATTCACCAGACAAAAACCTGAGCGCGTCCAGCGGCTGAGACGCCCCGTGTGAACCTGAGACCCGTGTCGGCGCATGTGAAAATGTCACGCCACTCGTTTCCCCATCCCTCCACTCCCAACCCCTCTAACCGTGGAGCTCCCCTCCTCTAGCACGTGCTCGTCCCCCCTTCGCCGCGGCGCCCGGGGAGAGCGACGCCACACACGGACGGCCCTTGACATGTCGTGTCGGTTTTCCGGGGAAGGCGTGTGATCTTACTGAGGGTCTCCAGCGTAGCTGAGCTGAGCCGGCCGGATGCCGAAGTGAACGATGATGGGGAAGGTGATGACGTCTGCGTTGAACTGCTCCCTGTCCAGCTGGTCGATTCGCACCGAGCTGGGTTTCTGGAGAAAACACAGAACACGGATTCAGCGTGCTACAGAATAAACATGGTTAGCCACGAGGCAGTCATCATTCAATCATCTGCTCGCGGCGTAAGACATAAATAATCCACCCCACAAGGGTCATCTGTCACAGCAGCGTAATGAGACGAGGCCCGAATTCTGCTCGTAGCACAAGAATGATAAGGTGATGTCAGGGAGGGAGAGCTCCTATCGGGGAGAAGATTGACAAGCAACATGTCCTCAGCTGGCTCCCAAATCACAGCTAGCCTGTCAGGCTTTTGGTGAGATCAGAGGAAGCGTCTGCTGATCAGTGCAGCAAATGCTCCGGCTCACCTTGATATTCACTCATCACCACAGCCGGCATTCCAAACCTTCTGATTCCAGAGCGAGAGGTCGCTGGGATCCACCGGATAACTTTGATTCTGCCTTTAGAGCAGAATAATCAGCTTTGATCGGGCCCAGGCTTTGTAGATTCACACGTTCACATGCTCTCCTGCTTTTAATAACTAACTTGAGGCGAGAGCTCGTGGTGGGACCGGGTCAGCGCGTGGAACTGGAGCTCCGACCTGCCAGATGCAGGAGGATGGTAACACCCGAGTCTGACAACAGGACGCAGGTGAGAAAAATAAATAAATCGCTCTAGCGCTGAAACAAAACTCTGATGTTCCCGTTTCCTCCTTTAAGACCCAAAAGCATGGGTCGGGACCCGCCGGGGGCCACCGAGAGGGTCTGGAGATGATCTTCAGGAATAAAGTCAGCTTTAGAAATGATGCTCTGTTGAGTCTGAAATGTATCAAAAAGATAAAAAAAAGATCTTCAACCAGCACCGGTCAGAGGTCACGGGTCTCTGAGGGTCCAAATCTGAACAGTTTATTTTATAGGGTGCACGAGTACATCAGCCGAGGCTAGATAAGATTACTATAACAGCAACTTCAGAGCAAGAAAACAAAACGGTGAAAATGTTGTTATTTAAATGAGACCCAACCAAGATGGCCGCTCCCAAAACAAAGGCCCATTTGGAAATAAACATCGTTCTTTGGCCCAGTCTTACTTCTCCGACCGATGCCGATATGAAAACGACACACACCTTTTCTTTTGTGCATCTGAAGCTAAACTCACACTGAATCCCTGGATTTAGAGCCCCACCCTGCACACCAGACTCCTAAACCGGCCCAGATGAGGTGAAACTAATCACATCAGGATGATCTGGTCTTATTCCAACAGCACAGACATTTCTGCGTGACCTTTATCTGAGCCTCTGAGAGGAAACCCGTTTCATCTTTAACCTGACGACGTCTACACAGCTACTTCCTGGAAAGCCTGACAGCAACAATTCAGCGCGGCCACACGGGAGGAGAGACAGAGAGAGAGAAGTTGACTCAATAACTCACCCACACCAAAGGTTACACAATCACATTCACTCTTCATATGCAACCTCTAAGCCAGCTCTGACATCCTCACCTTTACCCAGACACAATTACTCCACATCCTTTAAAGTACGGCCCAGACGAGGACGTTAACCGACTTCATCCCGACATAAAAGCTCCCGCTCCCAGTGGTGCTGATGGCAGAGGATGCCCTTGAGGATAAAAGGTGAGGTTTCTCATGTCACAGGCTAAAAAGGGACAACCTCATTCCTGCAGAGTCAGGGTTCAGGGCACCAAAACGTCCTTGGAGCGTCAGATAAAAAACCAGCAGCCTCCTGCTGTGAGGAGGACGAGTCGGAGGACTCACCATGCCAGGGTTGGTGACGATCATGCCCTTACACTCCTCAGCGTACTTCTGCCAGTCCAGCTGTTCCCACTGCAGCATGTCGGCGATCTCTTCCTCGGGGACCAGGGCCTTGCTGCTGCGCAGCAGGTACAGCAGCACCTGGTGCATGGACAGCACCTCCTTCCCACCGTCTGAGAGTATTCAAACATAAACAACAATCAGTTCTTCCTGCTCTAACGGTCTCAAAGCCCACAGGTACCTCACCGTTGGTCTACCTGTAAGAACACCAGAGGTTAAACCTCACTATCTTCACACACGAAGATATTATTCTGCTTCTGTGAGGGTTGATGCAGAAAACCCGTGGTGGTGCCCACAGAAGTGACCGTCAGTTAATCAGATTAATGTGGCCTGGTCTGATTCATGCAGATTATAAAAACCCTAATCCAGCTAATTAACCGTATTACTGGTCTGTAGCGAAGCCAGCATCTCACTGGTCTGGATTCAGGTGGGAGCTTGTCTAAAGAGCCGATACCGACGTCAGAGCCAACGACACTGACAGTAAAGAGCTGTAGCACATACATAAAACATGTTACTAGCTTGAACGTTATTATTCTGTTAGCATTAGTTAGCACTTAGCTACGATACCGGAGAACACTTCTGATTTCTCTTTATGAACCAGGGTATCTCCAGGTTTAAGGGAGCCAAAAGTAAGACTTTTTAAAGCCACTTTGACCAAATTGAAGCTATTTTTAAAAATTACATTTAAGCTATAATTTCCAGCTATTGCCTGGAACCGGTGCTAACCACGTAGCGAACGTGGGATTAGCCATCCAGTTACCATTAAACTTGCACTTCCCCATGGCGCAAGCTCCCACTAGCTTAAAGGGACTTTACGGAGTTTTGAATTTTTATGCTCGCGACTGCCCCCTCAGGCCAAAAGCGTAACAGCAGCTTCAATAGTAGGCTCGTGCACGAGGCACGCATGCTGTACGTGCACACCCCTTAACGAAAATAACAGCTGAGACAGTCCCGTGTGTGTGTGTGTGTGTGTCCCGGAGGACAGGAGAACGTGCAGCTAATTAATTTAATTATGTGGTTCTGTACCTTTCTCTTCAGCACAGCCGACAAAGGTTTATGATGGGTCAGTCCTCCTGCATGCTCAGATCATTCCCTTCCCTTGCTTGAAAATTTGTTCCAAAATGAAAGTTGAACCCACATCTTTTTTATCTGTGAATTCAATGCCGTTCGGCGAGTCTCAAATAAAAATATGGGAATCTTACTGTAAAAAAATATATACCATTAATGTAAAAAAGAAACTAAATAAACTATGTTCACACCCAGAATCGAACCCAGGACTTCTGCACTAAAGCAGACGAGCTAAATCACCAGTGGTGTCCTCTGCATCGGTAACATTTATATCCTTGATGACAGCTGAAACAACGTTCAAAGAACGGTTCGGAGGGCTATGCCTGAAAGTGAACGCGCATGAAGCAGCCTGCTCGACCCGAGCAGCTCTCTTTTTCTGTGATTTTACAGAAAAAGAGGCAATCACAGTAAAAATGCCAGGGCTCATTCTACAGGACCAGGGCATTGCAGGAGAACGTATGAAGAAGACATTTATTATTTCTATACATGTTCTGGCTGTCAGACTTCCATAATGCCCCTTTAACCAGCTAATGTGCTCATCTAAAAATAGCCCCCTTTCACAACCAGCTGAATGTGCACGGTTCCGCTTACGCCAACATCATACGCAAAAAATGCTGAACACTAACTAGAAATTCACAAAAAATTTATAGAAATTAAATTATCTTGTTTATTGGGTCTTTGGTAATTTAAGACCGTTGGAAACTGTATTTAAGGATTATTTCAAATTTTTAAGGCCTTAAATTTGGAAAAGCTAATTTAAGACTTTTTAAGGACCCGCGGATACCCTGTGAACAAAAACCAGAAACTGACTTGCTACCTCCAGGTGAGTCGATCGCTGACTAAGCTGGCCACAGGCTGATTTCCGAGTCCCACTCTAGCTCGAGTCCCATCGCACCGATGGTCGGCCTCGCTCCTGTGATGCACATTCCCTCTCAGAATAGTCGGAACGCCGTTGTCAGGCGTCTGGATGCGTCTGCTGACTTCACCTGGGTCTAAATACGGACCGAACCTCGTTTTGGATCTCCAACTAGTGGCTTTAAGGCTTCACAACATCCATAAGAACAACAACGACAAACTGATAAGGAACTGAACCTGGGCCATGTCCATCAAAGCAACATGAAGCCAGTTGAACTTTGACCTCATGCAACATGAAGTAGGAAAAATACAGACTGATTCACTAAGTCCCTAACATCCCGCTGTGTGTGGAAGTTTCCTCTAAATCCTGCCCCTCTTCCCAGATCACATCAGAAACATGGATTAACAGTTTTTGAGCTTTTGTAAGAGAGGTGGTGGATGAGTGTCTGTGGGTTTGTAAACTGGGAGAGCTGGGAGAAAAACAGTCTTTTGATGGAAGGAAGGTAGGTGGTACAGCAGCCGTTACAAACACGGCGGCGACACAGCAGCGCGCCAGCACCATCAAGTGTATCAGAGAGGAACACCACGCAGAGCATCAACTGGCCACGCTGTCAGACACCAGAGCAAGAGGAGGACGCTGAAGTCTGCTGGTTCTATTCATGGAAAACAAAACAAACACAAAACAAGTCCGGAGCACGGCGTCTGCTCAGTCCTACCCGGTAAGAATCTGACAAATCGAGGCATGAAATGGAACCGCTGGCATCCGGAGGACTCAGAATCGAACTCAGGACCTGGACAAAAAAAGATTAAAGGCTTCAGATTTTCATCAGAGCCACGGTTCTTCGATTATTGATTAATTCAATACTTATACCAGATTACCATTTAAGACCATGAAGGGTTTAAATGTGTCGACAAGCCGCCAAAGCAGCGAGATCGTGGAATCGTCCCCGTGACCAAGTTACCACACGGACCGTTTTAGACGTGACACTCTGAGCCTGGTCACTTTGGTGTTCATGAAAAGCAGGATGCCTTAACCAGTGGTTGTTTTTATCTTAGCATGACTAGCACCTGTTAGCATAAGGCTAATTATCAGCAGCAGCTTTTTTATCCGTATAGAACCCTTTTAACTGCAGGAAGGCAGTGTGCTTGCATCGTGCTACAAGTTTTATAAAGTTTTTTTTAAGTATTACTCTTAATTACTTGTAGATGTTTTATAATCTGTTGCCTTAAATTAATAAAAACCTGCAGATGAAAGTATTTTAATTGGCTCTTCCTGGGTGAGGACATTAAAGGGTTCACGGCGAGCCTGCAAATGTGACACAAGGCGTTTAAAGTTGGGTGTTTGATAAACCAACGGTGTCCATAATCACATATCTGCCTCTGGGAAGAAGCCCGAGACGGTTTCTGTCAACATTCCAGCTCCTCGTTACGACACCAACAGGTGTAGCGCATAATGACCACAACAAGTCAGAACCACGTTTATTAGTGATCCATTAGTGTCGTAACGATTCAACTTGTACCGTATTTTCCGGAGTATAAGTCGCACCAGCCATGAAATGTATAATGAAGAAGAAAAAAACATATATAAGTCTCATTTTGGGGGGAAATTTTTATTATTTTTCTTACAAAATCTGAGACCAAGACAAGTACCGGTAACAATAACAGAATAAACATCCAGGGCGCAGCAGCGCGCCACGGTCTCCAGCAGAGGATGGCGGTGTTTGAAACCCTCGCGGCGGGCGGGGAGAGCTCATTCCTGGTCCAGAGCCGGCCCGCAGCAGTGCGGTATAGCCTACAGAATTTGGTATATAAGTCGCAGGACCGGCCAGACTATGAAAAAAAGTGCGACTTGTAGTCCGGAAAATACGGTACTTGAAAATTCGGGGTGAATTTCTTGTTTTTTTCTGCTTTTTCTAGCAGCTAATGTGTGTTTTATGATGCAGAGATGGAGGATTACACAAGAAAATGTGCTAGAAGGTTATTTTTCACTGATTAAAGTCCCTCAACCCTTAATCAAAACCTTGATTTCCTTCTAAGGAAGCCAGAGTTTATCCAAGCAGGCGACCAGCAAAATGATTCCTCTAGCTTTATTTTCCTGTTTTCTCCATAATTACTTGGTGACATTAAATCCAGTTTCCAGCTTCCTGCAGAGACGCTGACTCACGTTTCTACGATGCAACTGTTGAAATGATCCCAAACAGATCTCCAGGTTATTAAGAGAATTCATCGGTGTTAAATAGACTCTCAGCCGCCAACACTGACCGAGTTCGGGTCACGTTTGTGTTTGCTCGGGTATCCAGAATGGAGTTGACTCCAAAACATCTTCATTACACATTATTATAATATTTTCATTCATAAGCTACTGTTCCACCCTTCCTTGGCTACAGCATGGAGCTAGTGTGTTGCATCAGAAAATCTAGCAGCATTGGTATTTCTGCGTGGGTCGGCACCGGTCCTGCTCCATTCTCTCTCAGCCCATTTAACCTCCTCGCTCGTTTTATCCCGACTCCAAGAGTCACAGGGAGCTGCAAGCGTTGGTCCGTCGCTGCTAGAACACGAACCTTTAAAGTATGGGTTCCCCGGTCCCAGAGCGAGCTGCAGGACCACCTCGGTGGATGAGTGGACCTAAAGACCGTCAGAACGCTGAAGCAGAAGCTTCTGGTGATTCCACCACCTCCAGGTGAACGGTTTCATTAGAAAGCTTGCCACCTGTCAACGTATTCACGAGCCAGGTGAGTTTTAAGGTCCATCCAGCACCTTTACATGCATGAAGGTGTTGGATGGACCTAAAGACTCACCCGCGTTTGCACGGAAATATCTATTCTGTGCTGGAATGTAATTTGCTAATTGTATCGACGTTTTCTCACGTCCCTTTTTGACGGTGAAATTTGCAGCACCCCAGCTGCTGCAGGGTATCTGCAGGGTTAAGGGAGCCGAATTTAAGACTTGTTTAAGACCTTTTTTAAGGCCACTTTGACCAAATTTAAGCTATTTTTAAAATGAAATTTAAGCTATAATTTCCAGCTATTGCCTGGAACCGGTGCTAACCACGTAGCGAACGTGGGATTAGCCATCCAGTTACCATTAAACTTGCACTTCCCCATGACGCAAGCTCCCACTAGCTTAACCAGCTAATGCGCTCATCTAAAAACAGCCCCCTTTCACAACCAACTGAACGTGTACGGTTCCGCTTATGGCAACAACATACACACAAAAAATGCTGAACACTAACTAGAAATTCAAGAAAATTTGACAAAAATAAAAGAATCTTGTTTATTGGGTCTTTGGTAATTTAAGACCTTTGGAAACTGTATTTAAGGATTATTTGTTATTCTTAAGGATTTTTAAGGCCTTAAATTTGGAAAAGCAAATTTAAGACTTTTTAAGGACCTGCGGATACCCTGTGCTGGTAGTGTTTGCCTTTTTGGTAGAATACTACCGGATTTTATCCAGTTAAGCTTTAATAAACAGTGGGATCGATTTAATGGAATGTGTTGTTTTCTGCTGAACCGCCAGAAACCGTTTTACGACATTTATCTGTAAAACACTGGCATTTGGGCTTTTCACGTTCACCCTTTGCCCAGCGTGAGCTTTCCTACCTTTCAGGTTCCAGTCGTACAGCTCCAGAATATCCTGGAACAAGTAGGCGGCGAACAGCTCCAGCCCTCGGACACAGTAGTTCTGCACACCAGAGACACGTGGCAAAGACTCACACCTTCACGTAGACCTGAGCGGTCAGCACATCCAACTTTCTGACTTCATCACATCAACCATCTTACTGATACGGCCAACTTGGGTAGGCCAGAGCCAAGCTTCTAACAGGATTAGCACCTTGGCTCACCCAAACGCGGCGGCGTGAGAGCTACACGAGCTCAGCTGTGCTCAGACTCAGCCGTTTGAGATAAAAACAACGAGGGTGAGAAAGAGCGGGGAGATAAAGTGCTGTTGGACTGACCTCCGGCGCCATCTCCTCTATGAAGTGAATGGTGTAATCTATGTTGAAGCGGATCACTCGGCACAATGGAATCTGTGATGATGAAAGGAGCAGAGGACGAGGAGAAGAAAAGGACAGAGCGTCTCATTACCACAGCGACAGGCAGAGGTTACAGCTTCTCAAGGAAACTCATTAAAACCTCATTTTCTCTGTAGAAACCACATGCATGTATGGAAACTATATGCTAAATTGTGTAAAAACATGTAAAACCTCTGATAATACCACAAACCCACCCTCCCATGGAGCACGCGCCTCCCCACACACACGCACACACACACACACACACACACACACACACACACACGAGCGCCCTGGAAATTAAGCAACTCAAATCTGGCTAAAAGGATAAGCCGGCTCGTCTGTGTTTAATCTCCCCGGTTACACGGTCTTTGTTGTCGGAGCACAGGGGTTCATTCGGAGAGATTAACCTGGAGCAACGCTCCTTCCTGCCCATCTCAGCGGCTAACTAGCAGGGAGCTAATATGGCCATGCTCTCAGGTTTCTAATCCCCGTTCTGTCGCCAAACGTTTGCCCCGGCTTGTAAAAAGCACCGTGGAAATTATCTGGTGTAAATCAGGCCTGATCCGCCGGGCTGCAGCGCAGATATTGATCACATTATTTAAACGGACTGGAGCACGAATCACCGCAGGTTGGGAACGTTTTCTCCAACCTGGCAAACCCCCGTCGGGTTTTCGTCTGGCTTCCTGTTAAATCGCAACCTCTTCAATGGCTGACGGACACCGAGGCCAGCCCTGTGAGAGGGAAGCACTTTGTCCAGACTACAAAGGAGTCGACCCGAAGCCGAGGGATGATTTGAAGTTGTGTTTTAGGAAAAAGGAGGTTTTCACTTAAACTCCAGCAGGAAGGACGAACATTAGCAGGCTGAGGCGTGGAGGAGGACGCCCGCCTGTGATGGTGGGTGAGAACCCGCCTGAGCAGCTGGTGGACACTTGGGCCGAGATAACAAGGCTGATTGTGGATCAGAGCATCTGTCAGGCTGATTCACACCAAGCAAGACATTATTATGCTAAAACAAGAGAAGACGAAGCATACTTTACATCGAAGGCGGTCGGCAGGTCACGCCCACTGTGACGAACCTTCGGACCGTTGGAGCGGCTAAAAAAGGACCAAAAACATAAAATCCTAATGATGGAAATCCCATAAATCACAGCTACTATAGTCAGCTGTTTCTGAACAAAGTCAAAACTACACTGAGGAGTGTTTGAAGGTCTGGTTTCCATAGAAACCGTGTAATCCTTGTTCATTTAGATATGTGATCGGCCACTCTGGCCGGGCCTTCCCACATCCGTGAAGTGAGGTACGCAGCAACCAGCCGCCGTAGTAGCAGAAGAGTGCAAGCAGCGCATTTGTTTAACGTTCCAGAAGCGTAGGGACGCGTCACTTCTGCTAAATTCACGACTCGAGTCTATTTTTTTACACGCCACGCTCAGCAGGTTAGACCGGGCCAGACAGGAAGTCAAACACTAAAGCAGTGGGAACATCTGGTGACTTTCAGATTTAAAGTCACGTGCACATTTCCAGGTCTGTACCAGTAAGAAACAATGGCGCTGACTGTGAAACCTCCGTAGCCGAAGTAAATAGGACAGAAAACAAACCAGACGCGTAGGAAGATGCTGCCATCTTTCAGACTAAAAAAACGCAGAAAGGAAACAGACGGGAAAACGAGGCACGATTCCTCCACGTCACAGCGGTAATTAGCATTCATGACCACGCCCACCTCGGCTTGGGACCGCCCACAGGAAGGAGAGAGCAGAGCGCGTCTCGGTTAGTGAAAGCTAGCCATTAGCATTAGCAACCTCACACAGTGGCAAACATGTTGACGCTTGTTTGTGGAGAGAAAAAAAAAGGAAGAGCGGAGGAAGCAGAAAATAGCTCACAAGGCATTCACTCATTCATTCTATAAACCAGACTAATCTACAGGAAATAAGCATGAATGAGAGCTTTAAGACCCTCGTGCAAGTTCTGGAGGGAACGGCGTTCCAACTTTCAGACTCACGCTAGTGAGGGGCGTGTGAGAGAAGAGAGAGAAGCCTTCAAACAGGTACTCGTGGTCGTCGTACTCGATCACCGTCGGCCGGTCCGTCTGGAAGTCAATTACAGAAAGACTCGCGTCACAAACACAGAAAAACAGCCAAACCACTCGTTTCGGTGGAGAACGGCCTCCTACCAGGAAGTTGGTGGGAGGAGACACGGTGATTCTGTAGTGGAACAGTTTCCCAGCGTTGTTGTTCATCGGACGGCACTGCCTCACGGGCTGGGGACAAAACACCAGAAAGATCCCTCATCAGTTACTGGACCCAGTAAAACCAACTAAAGAGGAAAACATGAATGTTTCTGAGGATTGTGAATGGATGAGTGGATTCAATCATGAATGTTTGTTTACTGGACATAAAACCTCAAAGTCGTTCATAAAAATGTTCTCAGTCATAAGGACACGAGTCTATTTATTAAGATATAACACCGTTTAGCTCATGACGGTGAGTTAACGGGGTGTGTGTGTGTGTGTGTGTGTGTGTGTGTGTGTGGGGCGTCCTTGGCCCGCCGCGGCTCAGCCTGAAGGTTATGAACGGAGGTGATTTATTCACGCCGTGTCCCACCTCCTCTCCTGGGTAGATGCTGTGGCGGATCCCGGTGCGTCTGGCCTTGGCGCTGCACTTACACAGGGGGCCATCATTCATCTGGACAGAAAGAAAATGCGTGAATCGGACAGCGCCGCTTCACCTGCCAGGTGTAACACAAAGGCCGAGGAAGGCTTCACATGTCTGGACTGCAGCACGGCGACCTTTACGTCTCTTCTGCACTTTGAAGTTGGGAGTTTGAAGTTTCCCTGGCAGGTTCTGCCTTTGTTAGGAACCTCAAACAACCCAAGTTTATTGGAGAAAACCACCTTTTATCCACTCAGGCTTTAAATATTCAGAATTTAACGTGACAAACCTAATTTGGCTCCTAAATTAAATAAATCCAGATGATAAATTCAGCCCAAAACTCGGAAACTCTCCACTGAGAGCTACAGAACCCTTTGAAGGGATGGTCCTCCATAAAACTAGGTCCTAGGGTCGGGCTTATCGTCTGACCTCACGTCTGTGAGCCCAGCAGGCTTCAGGGGAGGCAAACATCCCATCAGAGCTTCGAGGACAAACATTAGGCTCTCACGCCTTCGCAGAGACTAAATTCAAGCCTCATCAAGGATTTCAAGCACCCATTCTGAACTTTTCACCACTTCATCACAAAAGCAGCGATTGTTGAAGTAGGTGCGAAGAGTTCAGAGGTGAAGTTTGTTCTTCACACTGTTGCTAAAGTTAAACCTAAGCACCTTTTAACCTCCCTGTTTCATAAAACTAAATATTATTGTGACACACGGGTTGATGTTACATCTCAGCACCATTACTGCACTATTTCTGCTGTTGCAAACGATGAAAACATGAATATTATTTGAGGTCGACTGTTAATGCTGAAGGTGTTGTGCCTAAAACGGTTTCCACGACTAGTTTAGGTCTGTTTCTCTGAGCAGAACAGCGGGGGAGGTCCGTGGCTGCAGACCGGAACAATGAGGATTAAGTGGGATTTAAAACATCGCTGCTGTTTTAGCAGCTGGTGGTTAGCCCGATGCTAGTTAGCATGCTGCTAAATAAGGATTTCATTCATTTAATTTGGTAACTTTAACATTAAAGAAACTAAATTAGTCACATATAGCAGCTTCTTTAAAAACAAACATCAGGCCACTGGGAGGCGCTGTTCGTCCAAACTGATCAACTTCAACCTGTACTATAAATAATATTATTATTAATAACAATAATGATGATAATATATAATAATAATAATATAATAACAATATATAACAACAGCAACAATAACAATAATTATATAATAGTTATAATGGAGTGTTTAAATGGTGCTAATGAAGGTTTTTCTGGTGTTTGATGATCATTAGTAACATTTGGGGTGTTTAAAGCTCTAAAACAGTGTTTCTGCCTAATCCAGATGTGTTGCTGCAGATGTTTTGATGCAGCAGGACATTTGTGTCTCTGCTGCCGTTAGTCAGTAGTCGGGACACCGAGTCCAAAGATAAACGTAGGTTCTGTTCTGAACCAGAGACCGGTGGTCCAGTTCAGAGGCGTTTTAGGAACAGCGGGTTAATCTGGACCGACCTGCCCCGGGTCGTTGTACCACAGCTCCTCATGCAGCCGGTCAGGATGAGCTTTCTTCCTCTTGATCTCAGCGATGACATCAAACACCTCAGAGTCGGAGCTGCTGGAGCAGCTGCTTCCCCCTCCGTCTGAGTCGCAGTCGGACTCGCTGCTGCTGTCGTCTGAAAGGAGACCCACGTCTTTTATCGTCACAACATCAAACAGCGTCAGGATCGAGAGCAGGTTAAGCTGCCCTTTAGGACTTCCTCTACAAAATAAAAGCCTCTGAAGCTGGGTGGAATGTGTTACTTCCTAAATGGAACGTAATCTTTTACTGTGGTTCAACCTTGCTGCTCATCTTGGTTTCCCATCATGCATCTGTGAGATGAAGAGGAGCGCAGCTGTCAGTGTTCTCACTCTTCATTAACAGGAAAAAATCCTCGCACCAAACTGGGGATTATAATTACTCTTCGGCTGAACAGCTTCTGAGCTGAAGTCTTATCAGCGTTTTAATTCCAGTTCGTTATTGTGAAACCAGAGCCCAGAGCAACTTATTCAGTAAATAAGATTCAGCAGCTGAGCTTTGTTCAAGCTGCAACACGGCGGCGGCGATAACCATGTCGATCACGAGGAACGCAGAGCTGCCTCTTCACCCAGATCGGCGATAAAAGAGCCCGATTGAGTTTATTCTTGTTTCATTGCCGCACAAACAACAGATACAGATTATAATCAGACATCTTACATCTTTGCCTTTTCCTTCCACTGATCCAGACTCTTCATCTGGTTTAGATCCTTAGTTTTGGAGTGTCTTCCTGCTCTTTAGCCTGAAGACACTCCAAAACTAGGCTCACGGTTACCGGCATCCCGCCCCGTTTGCTCAGCTCAGTCAACGATAAACAGAATTTAACACAGAAAATATCATTATGGCTCCAATAAGGTGATTCCTGAAGCAGCTGATAGTCTAAAAGTTTGAAAATCCCAGGAAGAGGTGGAGGAAACTGGACAAAAGGTGACATTTCCAGATTAAAACCAAGGTTTCCAGCAGAGAAGCGTTGGTACTAAAAAGCTTGGTTACCTACCAACATGGCCTCCTCCAGCCTGGTTTCTCCTCTGAGGCTAACTAGATCGTTAAGGTGCACCTGAGCAGTGGACGCGGCTCATTCTCAGAGTGATAACGTCTCGTTTTGGAACCACCGGGTGGCGCCACAACACCATCTTTGGTGTTTTCCAGCTGAAATAACCTTTTATAAAGTAACTGGTTAAAACCTCTAAGATGTTACCGGAGAGTTTGGCTGATGCGAAGGAAAAGGTTAAAGAAATTAGCTCAATCTTGTCGTTTCACCTGTAATGTGTGGAATTAAAGCTACAATATCACCTCAATCAGCCTTAAACCCAAAGAGCAGGTCGCTAACGCTAACAGGCTAAGGCTACGCACCCGGATCCTCGTCCAGTTTGGTTTTGGGCGGCTCCCATTTGGGTCTGGCCTCCTTGGCTCGTTCCTGTCTCCGCCCCAGCTCCTCCTCAAAGCGCTCGTAGAGGTCGCGTAGCTTACTGGTCCCGACCACGGTGGAGTCGCCCTGAAACAGGAAGTTCAAACACAACTCAGGGTTTGGTCGCACCAACAGGAGATGAACATTTGTTTAATGAAATGGTTGCAAAACGTTCTGGAGCCGTGACGAGGAGCAGCCTGGGCTTGGGAAGCATTTCCATCTGAGAGGATCACAAACACTGTGTGGATCCGTCTTCTTCACATCACCCAAAACTGTGAAGGTCACAGGAAATGACCTTTAAACCCTTTCAACACCCCCGACAGCACCGCTGAATCTCAAAAGGAGCACTCTGCTCCATCCAGACATTCCCTTTGGGGATGGACGGGCCGGGTTCCTGCTACGAAGGTCCGGAACCAACGGGGGCTTCAGACTCGACTGGTGAAGGTCAGCGAATAGGAGAACATTTATGATAACGGAACTAAATGTTTACGAGATAAAACAAACCAATCAGCTGCTGCTTTCATTTAAAATTCTTTAGCCCAAAATCTCAAGATGAGCTCGTTAGTTTTTACCTGTTAATGGTGAGAAAACTTCAGAGGGAGATTCAATTCAATTCAAAAATACTTTATTAATCCCAGAGGGAAATTGATTTTGATGATTTTGTTTGTTTTTGAAGTCAAACTAAATAATGTTATTGACCTCTTATGGAGATGGCACAAAGTTAAACATCTCGTTATCCTGACATCACAGCTACCAAAACGGGCGGTCCGTTATCTCACGGTGAGGTTAGGATAAGCCACACCCACTTTCAGCTTGGAACAGATGGGATCCCGTTTGATTTAAATCCAGACAAACGCAGATTACCACTTGGTCCATGGGGTCGTTGGAGTAGAAGTTCTCAGCGTGGGTGCAGCGGATCCAGGCGGGTTTCAGCAGCTCTTCCTCTTCCTTCTCTTCATCAGCCTTCTCTTTCTCCTTCTCCCGTTCCCGCTGCCGGTCGCCACACGCCTCGTCGGCATCTCGACTCCTGACGGAGGAGTAGCTCCGCTCTCTGCTCTGCCCCGAGGAGCTTTCCGACCTCCGGTCCTTCTCCTCCTCCCACCGACCACGTTTCCTGTCTCTGCTTGTTGAACGACTTCAAGAACATAAAAAAAATGACGCTCAAATCATTTAAATAATTAAATAATCAGGAGTGAGTGGCTTCTAAAAAGAAACAAACCTAAAACCTAATTTTTATTTTAGTGAAGAGTTGGGGGGTTATATTGGTCTGAAATTTAGCCTGATTGCTGTTCTCTAGTAGATAATCCAGATTATGAACCTAAATCTTCCTGGTTTCACCGACTCTCACTGACAGAAGTAAAAAGTGACAGCAATGCACCTGCGAGGTCTCTTCCTGTACCGATCAGGTGACTGGGCCCTCAGACCGTCTCTGTGTCGGTGTCTCTCCCTGAGGACAAGCGGAGGGTTTAGGACACGTTAATGACGGACAATGACAGGTGGGTTCAGCTGGGCCGGTACCTGCTGCGGTCCCTGCTCCGGTGTCTGGGGGGACTCCGTCCTCTCTCGTACTCAGACTTATAGCGTCCTCCCTCCGTCCTCCCCCGCCTGTCTGGACTTCTCCCACGCTCCTTCCTCTCTATGGGAAACTCTGGCTTGTGTCTGTCCCCGTAGCTGTAAGCTTTCTGTCTGTGGTCGTCATGGCGATAGCCTCTTTCTGGAGATCTCCTGGTGTCCACGGGTTTCTCGTACGAGTATGGTCCCCTGTGTCTGATGCTGTGGTCCGGCTGAATCGGGCCAGGGCTCTGGGTGTAGCCGGGGTTGAAGGTGGGAGGAGGGAAAGGGGGGTGAGGATAGCTCATGGAGTAGGGTGCGTGGTAGCTCAAAGACTGGGAGGCGATGGGGGGAGGCATGGGAGGGTGTAGTAGCGGGGGTGGGGGGACTGATGGCATCATGTAGGGATGATAAGAGTTCTGAGGAGGAACCTGAGCTCCTGGAACGGGACCAGCTGAGGAACTGGGTAACGGAGGGGGTGGGAAGTTTGGCGGGGGCTTTGGGAACGGGGGGCGGACGGGGCACTGGTTCAAAGAAGCGTGAGTCTGGGACGGTGATGGAGGAGGGTACTGCATAAAGTCAGGGTGTGGGGGCATGTAGCCACTGTTTCCATGGAAACCAGGTGGAGCCTGTGGATCATAATGATAAGGAGGAGCTGGAGGCTGGGGAGGGGGTGGCCTGAGGTTGGTGGGTCTGTAGTCCTGTGTGGAGCCGTGCTGGCCTGGAGGAGCTCCTGCTCTGGGACCTCCACGGTCCTGATGGAAGGACATGACCGACGAGACGTGGATTTAATACACCTGAAAGACAAAAAATAAAATAAAATACTTATTTTATATCAGCCAAGTCTAAAATAAAACAACCTCTCAGAGTTAAAACACGAATTAAAGATCGTGTGTGAGGCCCATTTAAGCTTTAACAGCAAATGTTTGTTTCGATTAAAGGAGGCTGAACAGCAAGAGGAAGCTATTAGATAACTGGGAAGCAAAATAAAGCCACTTTTATCCGTAAAGAAAGCTCTATTTTTTTATCTTTATGAGCCGTTTATTTCAGTAGCTAGCCGGTGTTACATCGAAACGTGTCCCCCTTTCGAAATTTGATATTACCCGTTTCGTTCAGTTTAACTCTTCAACTCAGGTTTCTACAATAGCAGGTTTAAGAAAATACTACATAAACATGATAACTGGACAATTAGGACATGGGAAAATATTTTTGTTACAGTATCACCCGACACACCGGCAAAAGTGAACGGACTGCAGTGAATACTTTAATAACTTCAACGCCAACAAAACAACTACGTTTGTTTGAACCCCAGAAAAGCTCATAGTAAAAACTGTTGAAATGTTGCTACAAATATTATAAATCTAAATGATGAAGCAACGACAAATCCACGACAGCTAGCTAGTTAGCAAACATAGTTAGCAAACATTCCCAACATCGTACGTTAGAAATTACCTTAGAGTGCAAAAAAGAACTCAAAGAAAAATCATATGGTCCCGTATTTCGTTCCAAGCTGAGGTATTTAGGTTATAGTGGTGTGAGGTATATTAAACAAAAGTATAAAATAAGTGATATTAATCTGTGAGGCTGTGCTGCGTCTAAACATCCATGCTTGCGGGGAGCCTATTTCGAGTCGGAACGTTTAAGTGAAGAACACGAGCGGACCAATCACAATTCAGGGATTCTGAGCAGAAATTAACGTTCCAGATTCCAAATCACATTCTCACTGTCTAGAATGAACACGTGAGATTCGGTGCTGTCGCTGCACCACACAAATGTGTGAATTGAATCTTGTTTCACTTTATGGGTCATAATTCATGCTTTCATGTACTTGTGTCAGACATACTCTAGAGGGCAGCACAGGATATGTTTCATATCAGGAGACCAACCCGAGTAACTACCATGGAAACGCACCAGGTTGACACAAAACATTTATTCCTTATGGCTAAATCTCTGTATTATTGAGGGAATATATAAACTTTCGATTTTGAAAAACAGTTTATTCTAAAATTAAACATTAATCTTCTGCCTCTCATCTATCTGTTTGTCTCATGGGGTGTTACTGAGTGGTAAAACTCTGCTTGTTAACCCCAGCTGTGGTCAGATTACTGCTTAGTAATTCACAGCTTGTTGTTGTGAAAGGCCAAAGGTCAAAACGCTTCAAACCACACAGTTTGCTTAAAGGAGTGGGTTCTAATCGCCCCCCAGAGAGGAACGCTGATGGTCTGGGGGCGAGCTCAGTGTGCGGAGCATGAATGGCGTTATGATTTGGCACATTTAGTCATGCAGCCTGTAAGTAAAGTGAAAAACAGAGACAAGGGGGTTGGGGGGTTTCTACTGCCTAAATGTTAAATATTCACATCAAATCATTGGTGTTGTTGCTGTTTTAAGCATCAGAGGAAATTAACCCAAAGTTCAATGCTGTAGGCTCAATTTAACGATCAATGTTGCTGTAGAGGCCAGTGGGAGGGGCTTAGAAAAAATATATCCATCTATCCAACCATCCATTCACTTGCGCTTATTCGGGCTCGGGTTGGAGCCTAAGCAGAGTCCCAAACAAACCTCTCCCCAGTCACTTGGGCCAGCTCCTCCGGGGGGATCCCAAGGCGTTCCCTGGCCAGGTGAGAGACATAGTCCCTCCACCGTGTCCTGGGTCTACCTTTAGGTCTCCTCCCAGTTGGACGTGTCCGAAAAACCTCACCAGGGAGGCATCCAGGAGGCATCCTGACCAGATGCCCGAGCCACCTCAACTGGCTCCTCTCGAAGTGGAGGAGCAGCAGGTCTACTCCGAGCCCCTCCCGAATGACCGAGCTTCTCACCCTGTCTCTAAGGGAGAGCCCAGCCACCCTGTGGATAAAACTCATTTCAGCTGCTTGTCCTTGAAATCTCGTTCTTTCGGTCACTACCCAAAGCTCGTGACCATAGATGATAATCGAGAGCATTGCCTTCTGACTCAGCTCTCTCTTCACCACGACAGATCAGTACAATGCCAGTATCACTGCAGTTGCAGCACCAATCCACCTATCAAGCTCATGCTCCAGTTTTCCCTCACTCGGGAACAAGGCCGCGAGATACTTAATGTTTCTGAAATATAAATGATGAAAAACGACCAACTTTATTTTAAAACTGGGTCAAATAGTCAAATTCATGCTTTTTAAAAAAAGTTATTTAACCCTCCCACTGTCTTTGTGGGCGTGACCCCGCGAGGAAAGTTGACCACTGAGCAGGATTGATGGTTTAATCCTTGATGTCCACGTGGCACCTCACCCCTGCCACGTGGACCCAATGCGATAAACCATCAATCCGGCTCAACGATCAACTTTCCTCGCGGGGTCACACCCATTAGGACAGTGAGAGGGTTAAAACATTAAAACTGCATCTCCCCACTTTAATCTCAAAATGTATACCTTCCTCTCATAGTTTCAACTTTGATCTCAGCATTTACTCTCAACAAAACCAATCCTTCTCTTTCTGTGCCCCTCTGCCACCCCTACCCTGTAATTATAATTCCTGGACCTGCTAAATATAATGTAATTGTATCAAAAATCTTTGACCGTTAAAAAAAACCCACTGCCTGGACGAAGGTCGGCTGAAACCCGGAAACAGGACAGGCCCGTTACAGCCGACCAGCAGCCATTCACCTGAACTATCACGTATTTGTTGATTCTAAATCTTTGGAGATGCGAAGAGAAACCGTCTGAATCTTGTTCTTAGTTTTATTCCAGCAGTGATAGAGGCACTTAAAGCAGCTATTAGACAAGTTGTGGGTAATTTGGAGCGATAGCTTTTAAAGACTGCACCTCTGGCACGTTCCTCTTTTATCCGTGGTTGCTCAGACATTACACCCAGTCTGTATGAAAATGGACTTTTCTTTGAGAAGCAGGTTTAAAAAGCAGCAGACCTAAACAATTACAGGCTCGCTTTAGAGGTGTGCGTCTTTGTGGGAAACTGGAGACGTTGAACAATTGGAAAAGTTTCTTTCTACTGATGAAGCCTAATCTTGGTGTCCATCAGCTTTTGTTAAAAAGAGAAGGCAAAGCTTTAGCAGCGTCAGAGTGAGTGTGATTTTACTAAATCTTTAGACAGGAAGACACCAGTCTGGCTCTTTCTTTCTGTTGGAGGCACTGAGACGACGCAACGCTGTCTGATCAGTTTGTTCTGCTCAACGGTTTCCCATAAATCAGCTGTAAACCAAACCTGCCTGTTCCTTCTGCAGAATCAAACATTAGCACCTCACCATGTAAGCTTTACTTGGTCTGATCCCACTTTATTCAGGAAGCCAAGTCTATTAAAAACCTCCTTTAACTTCAAACATTTTCTCTAAACATCCTTCCTTTCATGTGTGGTTAAAAATGGTGCGAGAAGCTATTTAATGATGCTGTCTCTCCTGCTGATATGTAAGGTCATTCTGAAGGTCGATGTGTCAGCTAGACGGAATCATGATCAACCGTATTATCCCCGTTTGGTCTGCCGTCATTTTGTCGATTTAGACGATTACATTTTAGTTTTGATCTTCTTTTAGGAGGCCTGAAGCATTCAAACTAAAGCTTTGGTGTTTTTCATGTTGAATCTTGTATGATAGTTGTAATTAAATAAAAAGCACGGTTTTCAGAAAACCTTTGAGATATTGTTAAAGGTGTGGAACACTCGTTTAATCAGTACATTTGCAGCGGTCTCTAGTGGGAATGAACACCTGGTAAGTCGTACTCGGGGGTGAAAAAACCCCGGTGCACCATTTCCTGGAACTAGAAGTGAGACACATCACAGCTGAGCTTCAGACGGCAGGTTTTGGAGTCTTACTTCCTGTTATTTGGACTAATCTTCTCTGATTGGCTAACAGCAACACGCCTCGTTGATGTTTTATCTCCACAAATAACACAAGCCTGGAGGAGTTCTGCTGTGTGGTGGAGTTGCTAATGCTAACGGTTAGCTTCTACTAGCTGAGACATTCTCAGCGGTTCCCTGGACGGCAAACCAACAACAGCCTTCCCCGTCATGAGCCAAGATGGTTGAATCCATGAATGTTAGGTGACAGCGTGACGTAGATCTGTTAGGATTTTCTAATCCTAGAGTTTCACCGTCTGTTCTCTAGCAGAAGCTAATGCAGGAGATAGGTGTAGGAGACTATTTTCATGTTCAGCCTGCATGTAAACTCAATGTGACTCATTAGAATCAGAAATTATCATTAAAACGTGTTTTTTTCAGTGTTCCTCACCTTTAATATTTTTTCTGTTCTTTTCTTTTCATTTCTAAAGCATCAAAGAAAAAACAAAAATCCTGAAACGTGTTTATTGAAAATGAAAACTGTATTTCTGTGTCACTCCCAAAACACAAAGACATCAGAGAACTAGCGTTCCACTGCTAAGGCTTGTTAGCATAACTGTTGTAAATAAAGCTGCTTCACCTGTAAATCCTGTTGACATCAAACTTTCCTTTATTCCCATCAGTATTCTCAAGAGTCTCACTCAGGAGTTTGTTCACGTCAGACGGCTGGAACAAGTTTCACCATAAAAATAGGATGAAAATAATCCTGGAATTATAACAAACAAACATTTCTTATGTATTATTTATAGAACATTTGTTTAAAGAGCAAGTCACCCCCTACTAGAGTAGTACTCTGCTCCCACTTCCTGTTTGAAAAATGCAACAAATGCTGTTGCCTAGCAGACCGAGAGGGCGGAGCCGCTAACAAATACACACACACACACAGGCTGTCTGGATTCAGGGTCTGCATCCTTCGTCGGCCGGTTACGTCACAGCGCCGCGACTCGGCCTGTCCCAATTTGAAGACTCCTTCAAATGCGGTCGACGAATCCGGCCTTCTTTTCGCCTGTATGAAGGATGGGTCCGGTGTATCCTTCAGTGGTTTACATTTCCCAAGATGCCTTGCAGGTCGGACGGAAGAACTTTTAAAAACGATGGCGGACAGTGAAGCGGGAGCTGTCGGAGAGAATTGCGCATATAAATGTCAGTATAAACTTAAACTGTTAGGTTAAGGACTTTTTGTGATGCATGAACGTTATTTTAGTTAGAAATGTTACAGTAAAAGTGCTTGTGTTGCGGTCTCGGCTCATATGTTCGGCCGCTCGGTGTCATACTTCCGCTACGTTTCCCCCTGATTTTAATAGAAGTTTGTATTTTAGGGACACATTAAGAGAAAGAGAAAACCAGGGAATTTATTAAGCTTAGGGCGGAGATGGACCACATGTTCACTGGAGCAAAGTATTCGGCGGCTGTGGCATGGAGGTACAATAACATCTCATATTTTAAGTTGAGTTATTTCTGCGAAAACATGAAAGGAATAACCCGTTGTCCTCTTTTCTCTTCCTGTTTTTTTTTCTGACATGTTTGTTAAGACTATTCTGGAGAAAATGGGCATCCAGGGGAAGGTGCCAGCGATGACCAGCTTCTGGAGCTGATCAGGGAGGACATGAGGCTGCAGAGGGAGGCAGAGCAGCAGAGGGCACAGGAGAGAAGGGAGAACTTTGACAGGCTTGCTAGAAAAAATGATTAAGAAAGATTAAACATGTACATATAAAAGAAATATCTAAATGAAATCAGTTCTGTATTAAACTCTTGAATTTTATTTTTGTTTACAAATGTGAATTGTTTACTACAGGGTATCCGCTGGGTCTTGAAAAGTCTTAAAAGGTGATAAATGGGT